CACCGCAAAGCACGGCTGCTCTCGGGCAGCACCACGGCGCAGGCACCGCCGGGCCAGCACCTCGGAGAGATGGGCGGAGGACGTCTCCGGGAGATGGATTGGAGCCGTACGCTCGGCTCCCGTAAAGCAGGGGATTTGGCAGGGCCCTGCACTCAGATGAATCCGGATGCGAGCCGGAGCCCCAGGGCATAAAAGCCAGCACAGGGAGATGGCCTGTTTCAGTGGTATCAACCCTGAATGTTGCCAAAAACGTAATTTCGATTTCCTTCGTAGAGCACCTATCAATAAAATAATTAACTGTGAAATTAGTGCTTTAAAATATAGCAAAATAGTCAAGTAGCAATAATGTTTTATATTAAGATACTGCCAAACAAATAAAAAAAAAAAGCACTTCCTCCCCCCTGATTATGCAAAATAAAAAATAAATTAATGTTCCTATAACCTAATTTCACCATATATAGTTCCCATATTACTCAACAGAGGTGGCCTTCCCTGCTTAGGTTTCAGCTTTGCTCTCGGCATGCTGTTCCAACAGAGCAGCAGTAAATCTCTCTCCTTACATTTGACTGCATTAAGAACCCTGCTGTCCAGGGGCTTCCTGCTGGGATCGCTCGTGGAGGACCGGATTCCAGTTCCGCAGCTGTTGGCAAGCGTGTTCCTGCAAGAAAGGCAAAGAAGGACCCTTACACCGGGGACGCCAGGGGACAGCGCATCGCAAGGGGACACCGTCCTCTTCCCTTCAGGTTCTCACAGAGGGATCACCATGTTACATGATTTTAAGGCAAGGAATCGGAAAAACGGGTGCTCAGGTTCAAGCATCATTGAGAAAAAGCACAGAAATCAGTGCAGCATATACAGAGGATGAAGCACTCACGACACATTATCTATTAAGGTGGTTAAAACACCAGAAAATAAACTGAATCCCTTGGGAGAGCACAAAGAGCACGTACCGATCAAAGAAGGTGGCCAGAAGACGTCTCAGAAGGACCTTGTGTTTGACACCGGCACATAAGTGGCAATTCATCAGCTGCCCCCGGGTGATGTAAACACCTGAGCCTGGAAGGGTTGGAGGGGGAGAATTCAAAATTAAAATCTTGCCTCGCTGACAGCACCGCCGCCGAGGCACGAACAAACCGCTCCTCCTGCGCTGGTCGGTCCCGACGATGGTGTGACACGGGAGGGAGCGTGCTCTTCACACAGAAAGCCCAACAAGGACGGCAGGATTTTTGGAAAAGCCTAGCAGGGACTGTTATCGCAGTCCCTTGGGGTCTTGGCAAGCCCCAGGTAATAATAATTCCTAATTTTATCTGTACGGAAAGGAAGTCTGTGGAAATCAAATGAAAGGGCTCTTTTTTTTTATTTTCTTTTTTTTTTTTTCAAAGACACAGTGCATGGCTTTATTCTGTGGTTTGATATGTACAGATCAGCTTATTTATTCTTTCTGAAGGAAGAAAACCCCACTCCATTTGGCCTTTTCTTTTCTGACGTGAAAGACCATAGAACATATAACTAGGAAGAAAGGAAAAAAGCCCGTCTAGCACAGAAAAGGTACTTGGTCACACTACAGATCTAACTGTTTCCAAAAACCCCAGTCCGTCACCTCTTGATACTCCTGGTGAGCAGGGAATTTTCCTTCTCATGCACAGGAACTGCTGACTTTGAAATACCCTGCCTTTAAGGATGCTCTCTGGAAGAAAAAGGAGCCCCTGCCAAAGCGGCTTCACGCGTCCAGGGGTTTGGCAGTGCTTTACAGCAGTTTTCTTATCAAACACTTGTACTTTGCACATAGCTCACACAGACCAAACCGCTCCTGCCTCAGCATCGGCTTGCAGGGGGAGGTTACTCTATTTTTCAAGCGAACTGTTATACGAGAGGGTTTTGGTATTTGCTTTTAATTAAGATTAAATAACGGGTCGTATCTGGATCCAGAACACGCTCCGTTCCCAAGATGTAAAAACATCTACTGGAGAAATAAAATTACCTCCTGGATTTCCAGGAAAGCCTACGGACCATTGTCCCTGATCTTCCGGATGAGGACAGAGCCGCAGAGCAGCCCACGCCGGCCCAGCAGCCCCCCGAGCCCGACCCTCTCCCCGGGGACGGCAGCTGCCTGCACCTCCCCTGCCGCCGCGGGCAGCCCAGGCCGCCGGTCCTGCCCCAGAAAAAGCAAGCATCGCTCCGGATCTCAGAGCCATCCAGCTTCTCGCCACGCTCCGTGCACAGTATCTGTCCATCGGATGCCCTATGATGACTGCAAGGCTTGTTGAAGACCCTCTCGGAGAGGGCTGCTGAAGTTTGCAGCATCAGTTACGGCACGAAACATTGGAGACAAAAGGAGAATACTCCGAACAGAGAGCTGAGGAAAACTGCCGCTGCAGGACCCTCCTGCGTGCTCCGGGGTCAAGCCCTGCCCCCGGGTCTCACCAGGTTTGAGACAGCAATTAGCTGTGGACCCTTTCTTCGGCAGCAGTATTTTGAGAGAGAAGCCATCAGAGGGAACGCCAGACGCCACCGAGGGTAACTTCACTTTAATAAATAAACAATAATCGAGGCAGCCACTATCAGTTAGAGATATTAATCTACTTTTTTTCCAGATTGAAAAATGTAAATCAAGCAGAGCTGCCTCGAGCCAATTTGCAGCTCTCACTGTGAAAATAACCTGCACCACTTGATGGTTTTAAGAAGTCTCACATAAAACGTAAATTCCAGATACCAAATAAATACTTGTGGTCGTACGCTGTGTTACAGCGTGTGCGTTTTACTCCTGCCTTCCACCAAAGACCCATCCTCGATCTGATGGAAACCTTCCTGGGCGTCCCCTGAAATCCAGATTCCTTCTACAGACTGAAAATAAAATCATGCTCCTCACCGAGAGATAAATGACCAGAAAGAAAAGGCAACCGATTTGGATTGATTGTGCTGCCACGTGTCCTTTTTGTACCAAGGGCTTTCCAGGTATTAATTAAACCTCCCCGCCTGGGCAGCAGGTACGGGCTGTCGTGCAAAGATCGCTTCATCTAAACATAGCTACGTCCGAGGGAAAAAACTTCACAACAGCGTGGGCTATAAGCTCAGAGGACTATTGCAGCGAAGAGCAGCTGGGGAGAACTTATAAAACCAAAATATAATTATTTAAACTGGAATTTGATCTGGACACCCCAGTCAAACATCCATCTTCTGTGCAGCAGTCGGGTACCCGGGCTGCAGGTGGCACGGCCACCATTTCACGGCTACCGGATTCCTCTCTTTATCCAGCTCTGCAACACCAGTATCATTAAAAGCTAAACAGCACCATCTTCCACCTCAAGTTGGCCATAAATCCTGCAGAGAGTAGTGAATTGTCCTGATATTGTAAATTCCCCCCAAATGAAAATAAAGATAGAAGTAAGGACCAAAACCAATTCCTTCTCTTCCTTCCTACTGCAGCGCTTCACAGTTTAGTAACACGCCCAAATTTAAAAAACTTTTACAGGTTTTTTCAAAGCTTGTTCACTGACATAAATTTTATCTCCATTGCTTTGTAAATCTTATAATGCGATGGGGTTTTTTGGTTTGGTTTTCTTTAGATACAATTGTGATGCAACCCACACCAATCAGGAAGAACACAAGCTGGAGAATTCAATTAAAATGGTAAATTAATTCAATTGAATAAATCCTGTTAATGACACATTTTTCTATCAGCAAATTAAAGGAAACTTAGAACTTTTTAGAAGATGAATAATCCAGAAAGACACAGCACGGGCACACAAGACGCACGACTCCAGCAATGGTGGAAGCAAGATGAAGAACACATTTCAAGAAGGAAAACATCAGTGATCTCCAGGCATCCTGAAGCAAAGAAAAGGTACCCCCTTATTACCTGCAACAAGCTCAAGTTTTTCTCCAGGATCTCCCTCTGAGTAGAGTTTTGGGTGGCAACGGTATCCGATTTGACTGATAAGACTGGCTGGGAGAGCAACTAGATCCCGTCGTATGAGGACACAGGAGCGGTTCTCCAGTGGGATCTGCTCTGGCTTCTCTTGAGCAACTTAAAAATTAAAAGGGAAAACCATTAAAACAGTTCATTATGCAGGCACAACATTAACAGAAGGTCAGATTTTTACTTTTTCAGGTAGCTCTTGGAAATATTCCTCCCTCCAGAAACACAACCATTCGCCAGGGCTATCGACCGCAGGGCAGACGCCACCTCACAGCGTGGAAGGATGCCCTGGTCTCCCCCGCCACCACCTACCGCAGCAGCCTCGTATGCGCGTTCGGGTTCTGCGAGAGGGATTCTTGGAACCTAATTATGCTTTAACTTTTCCTAAGTTAATCATTTATGAAAACGGGCAATGCTGCACAGCTGGCATCGTTCGGGAAGTGCAGCATACGGAGCTGGCTTCCCCAAACACTCCCAGAAGAACCGCAGGTTACTTCACCAGGGGTTTCTAAAACAGGCAATAAATTGCCCACGTTTGATAAATACCTGCAACAGTACCGTAACTACTTCT